GCCCCTTCCCAAAATTACTTCAACGGAAGGTTTCCAGATGGATATGCGGAGCAAATCCATCTGGCGGAGTCAGGTTAACCATATTTCCCATTAAGCACAATCTAGATAAACATCTAGCAACAGTAAGAGTAGCTATGGTGCCCATCAGGGACTGGTGTTCCCTTGTGCTGCTCTAGATCAGCGTTGTGGCAAACGTGGACATTTACAATCATGAGTCTGTTTTCAGGAAAAGCTTTGGAAAAATCGGATCCTTTGTAAAAAGAAAAACAAAAAAAGAATGGTAAAATACTTTAGAGTCAGCCGCCATCGGACCTGAACCCTGATCTGAACGCCAGCGGTTCATCAGAAAAGCAGATCTGGATCACTGAACCTTTCCAATGTAGAAACTTCCTCTGGTTTATGCATCTGAAGTATTTATATATTCAGGTCTTGTTTACCCTTAAAGGGTAAGTTAGCGTGTTTGATCACTTGCTTCCCCCCCCAATACAAACGGAGCATGTGGAGGAATGAATTCATTCAATGAGGGTGAAAATGAAAGAAATGAAAGAAAGTTGAAAACTAAAATGAAAAATGAAAGGAGCAGAATCTGATCCGTTTCCTCAAAAGGTTCACAAGAAAGAAGTATAAAGATAAAGGCCATTCAGGGAGACAATAGGAGAATTAAATCATTAATTCTTAGGTCATGCTTCTTCCTAAAGGAAGTAAAAATATCTCAAAAAGTCTATTTTAGCAGGGCGGTGGTTATAGTGCACGACCCATGAAGGAGGCCTTAGTCCTCGATCGACCCGGGTTCGAATCTGACCTGTGGTCCTTTCCCGCATGTCCCCCCCGTCAGAAAAACGAGCTACTAGTGCCGTAAAAACTCAAAAAAAAAAGAAAGAACAGTCTATTTTAGCCAAAAGGCTTCGACTTGGTAACTCAAAATTGTAGCTTTATTTCGAAACGCATTAACATGTAGGGGTTAGCTCCAACGCCGCCCCACTAACCCAGCGACTTTGATTTAAACTAGATCTGGGCAATTATTTTTATTGGCGATATAATTCCAACTTTACGGTGGCCTTGAAGTGCAAACTGCAACTACAAATCTAAAAGCGCAACAACATTAAGAAAAA